CCCACATACGTGGTGATGAAATTCACGGAGAAACACTCAAATTTATTGGCTAGAAATGCTGGAAACTTGTTGTGTTCTTGAACTAGGATTCTTGATCTTTTTCTCCATTTTTGTTTCAATTTTCTAGGTTTTTATATAGGTATATTACTTATATAAGTTTTAGTTATGTTTCTAGGATTAAACTGACTAAAATCAGATGATTTTGAGTCCAAACGATGTATTTTAGGGTTTAAACAATGTGGGAAAAGACCAAAGGACCCCTTGACAACATGTTGTCGAACCAAACGATGACCAGGACAGATGGTCCGTCTTCCCATCTACGGCCCGTCATTTTGTTCGTAGGTTGGGCTGTTCTACAGTCGTTTACTAAAATGGGCATAACTTTTTACTCGAATGTCAGAATTTAGCAAGGTTGGTGGCTATGGAAAACTAATTCAATTATATATCTACTGGTAGGTCATGGAACACCTCATTCCTTTTGTACAGAAACTTATGATTATTTGAAGTTTTTCCAACTACATTTTTCCCCTAACTGTCAGAGACTGGGTGAAGGGGATCTCGATCGAAAATCACAAACTATGGATCGTCGTCTGACCTACGGACTGTAGGTCTGTCCATTGATCAAGACTTATCCAATTTTACTGGATGAGTTTTTGGGAGTGTGTAATCCCATCAACGGTTGTGCAGGACAGACCCTGTGTCAAACTACGGTCCGTCGATAGTACCATCGGTTGTACCAGCAGAATTTTTGAAAAGCTGGTTTTTCGTCTGTATACGGGGTGTTGTATTATCTAACATAACCATGATAAAATCCTTAATAAATATTTTATAAAAGCAGGGGTGAACCTGAATCAACCACCATACGCATAATGCACAAACCATCATAAACCTTGTTAAGATGATATCCTCTAAACAAAATATTTCCTTGAGATTAACCTATATAAAATATGATCTTTAGACATCAAGTCCAGTAAAATCGAACTCATCTGATCCAAATATGAAAAGGATCAAGTAACCACTATCAAGTGATACACCCAGGCATATAGAACCTCTAATGTTATTGTCATAATGCTAGAGTAGTAGTTATTATAGACAAACCTTAAGAATGACAAAACTAGACCCGATAATCCTCACATTCAATTACATATAGCCAAACATGATACAGATGATGAGATAAATCTCAAGTCCATTGAACAACTATAATTTTTATGGTAGATCTCCCATAAATTCTCATAACCAAAGTTGTGCCTGTTGAATCACTAGTGTACTTCAACTATCCCAAACAACACCAAATCTTCCATAATTGGAATGAACAAATCTAACCACGGATTTCACCCTACTAGGAGGACAATCATAGAACCAGTACACCATGATCCATTACTAGGGACTCACCCATAGAAGCAAAAACACGCACAGGCTTAGAAAGTGAACCATACTATAAACCACGTCCAAAATGAAATAGTTGGTCACATAGTAATGTACATAGAGAAGGTCGACTAAACAAACATATTCGTTTATCTTACTCTTTCCCTTTAATTTTCTAGCTACCTACAATCATCAATTTAGTCCCTATTATAATTGGACACATACTTCGTTTATCAGACCCAACATCCACTTAAGTCAACACTCTTAATACTAACAAAATATCATAACCACATCGATCATGTACCTTACTTCTATACCATCATTAGTATCAAAGCATTCTTATCAAATATGTGTTCAATCTGCTATCTCTCTTTCTATTTAAGCATTTCATCACAAATACGATTCTCAAATAAGGCTAGTAACACTATTTCAAATTTGATAGTACCTTTTCATTGGGATAAAACTATTAAATCACACCCAAAGTCAAATTCACACCACTTACACATACCATGCTTTATCTACTATTCTAAACCATCACATACCTCATGCCATAGTTAAGGAATTTCTTGGCCACTCAGATTTTTCTGTGTAATATAAATTCATAGCCTCTATTCACCATCAAATGTCTACGTAACACATCATAACATTCTATGTAGTCCCACCAATGGAGTAGTATTAATCCAACTCTAAATTCTTAATAACCATGTAGAATTATATCTCACATTGTACATCATTTTTTAGTCGTCTATCGTAATTTGAGAAATCTATCCACACATAAAACTCTAATTTTTTCAGACGTCATTGTTTGTCACCCAAACCAAAACTTAATCATTATAAAAGTAGATGATAAACTCGTAGTAAGCATGTACCAAACTAGTTCACATCTCACAATCATATCTAAATGTATAAGCAAAATCAATACAACCTTCAACTACACCCCAAAGGTTTATACGAGAGGTCTTCTTCCTTTACTTTTCTTAAATTCTTCCCATGGTGCAAAATTCTAAGTCTCAACCCTTCATTATATTACACTCTTGTTTCTCTTCCCTTACCAATCTCATCCTTTTTACCAATAAGCCACGACGTTTTACTTCACACTCTAAATCAAAACTCTGAGAGAAACCCTTTTTAGATCCTTTAACAATCACAAGTAATAAACTTTATGGTCCAAAACATGCATAAGTTATTCTAGATGCTCAATACCGATGAAATTAATTATTCCTTACCCTACCAATTCTTACCTTGAAAAAACATATCACCACGAATGTAGACTTACAATAAAAAAAACTTCAAACGTAAACCTAATTGTGTAACTCGATCCCCTAATCTATCAACGTAGCTCATACCTTGAAGATTTTTAGAAATTCACGTATCTTAACTTATCATCGATCGTCTCTTCATTGGTATTATCATATCCTCCACTAAAAATTAAATTGTAGTTATTAACAAACTCAAAACCACCATAGAACTTATTATCACACTCGAGCTGAACGTCTATACACTCTTTTCACAAGTATATTCCAATCGTTTTTTACCAATATGATGAACACTTGAGACTATTTCTATAACAAGAAAAAGAAAAAAGATGACATCACGCATCTCTGAATCTAATTCTCAACCGAGCTGAAGATGCCTCTTTAACCCTTACAATTACACAAAAATATTTTGCTCTCACCTCTTTCCATAGGTTACCCTACATTACATTGATTATTATTTATTTATTTATTTATTATGACTCTAACTCCTTTGAATTCTATTCAAGTGATTCCCAACATCTCTCAAAACTTTCTATACAGCAACGTTATTCACTAAATAGTAGATAATCACAATCTTAGATACTCACAAGTTATTATTATCATACAAAATATGTTTACCCAACAATTTTCATTCTTTCCTAGAGAAGTTCGATGACAAAAGTAACACAGTTCATAAATTCAACAAAGTAAGCATTGGTACTATTGTAGTAGTCTTATCATGACCCTCTTTAATATACAATCAAACAATGGAATCACAGTAAAGATTCTAACCTCAATTGGTGCAACCTACTTTCATCATTCTCTAAACAATCCATACTTGCTATGAAAGTTCTACTAACTATGTTTTCTAACGTAATGATGTTCATTTTTAAGTTATCCCTTATGAAACGTCTTACATATTGTCAGATATCTAGAGAAAGTACAAAATTTGACCTCATAGGTTGCAACAAATATCTTTCATTTCTCTATATTTAGGAAACTATCTCTCTTCCTATTGCTCAAAGTTTGGAGTACATAATTGGATAAAGAAGCTAGAATTTGCTGCCTTTAAGTCATATGTAGTGCCTTTCCTAATCGGCATCAAACATGAAACTGTCACCATATTTTGCGCCTTTTCAAAACTAGTATATCACAAACTCAATACTAAACCTCTCCACTAAATTCGTTTTATGAATCAACTCAAAACAATCAACAATTACAACATAAGTATTTTCATACTCAATACCCATGAAGGATGGAGGTTTCAACTTTATGAACATAATATAAAAAAGAAAAGTTTATGTTGATCGCTAGTCATTATAGGTCCTATAGCCAATCGAAAAAATATACCCATTTCCAAGGTCACATTTTTTTTTGTAGTGTTGCTATTTCAACTTCTAATACTCTACTACTAACCATATATCAAATAGACTGAAGAAGTTTATACACCAATTTGTATCACCTAGATACCAATTGGATTCAAGTAGTAGCACGAACGAAAGAAAGAATGAAGTATTCCTAAACTCCTATAGCCTCTCGAAGAAAATTAAAGGTGTCCCCATACCGTTCCTCAAGACTCTACTAGACTTGTCCTTGTGTGATGAGATCACCGAACTTAACGCTCTGCTATCAAGTTTATCACGATCCAAATCGAGTCGTGAGTGGTACCCACACTTAACCTTTTAGGTGGACAAACCAATGAATTCAACCCCAACTTATATTTATTATTCAGCTTACTAAATACTAAACATAATGCGGAAGTTTAAATCTTATTAGTGTCAAAAATACAAATTCATTCTAATCTACAATATGCCATTACAAAAACCTGAAAGTCATCACATCAAAGACATCTAATCTCCAAATACTAAGTCTAAGAGTATCAAATACATAAAAAAAATAAAAGAATAAAATGATATGTGCCCGAAAACATAGGACATAATGTCATGACCGAGAGAATTCAATACGAACTTGAATGAATATCTCACCCTGGAACATGATATGCTGGGGACTGGCTAGAATTGAGGGCGAGCCAAAGTCGCTGGTACACTTGTTGCATTCCATAAAAGGGAAAAAAAAGAAAAACACAAGTAGGGCTCAGTACGGGGGAATATGCACTAAGTAGATATAATCGACCAACTCAAAATAGTAACTAATATACAAAGAATAATAGTGTAAATTAAAGGATGCAAATGTTTTTTCTTTTCTCAAGGCCTCGAAATATTTTCAATCTACCAAATATATAAAATTGCAAGTTAACGAGTCTCTAGACACCCATGCTACTATATATCTAGCATAGACCCAAAAATCATCATATATAATATAACTTTAACATAACTTTAATATAATATATAATATAATACACCTAACAAATTAATAAATTTTGAATCTAAAACAGTGTGTACGACAGAACATGGCACACTAGCCTAATCCTAAGGGTTGCAGTTACAAGTATAAATCCACCCAATCATTAGCCATAATAATTGGACAAGATTGCCTAACCATGGGGGCAAAGATTAGGCATGAGAAACGATCTGTATTTTGCCCAAGTTAGAACATGTTAAATGCCTACAACTTTAATTCTCTTCCACTTTTCAATATAATAAAATAATAATAACAAGGATGAGTAGTCATCAATCTATACATTTTTATTCAGTACTTCAACTACAACAAAAAAATATAAAATTTTGATTTATTTCTTATACAATTTCCAGTGACCGATTACTCAAAGCAAATGATTAGCATCACTACAGACAATTGATTATCACCTTTTCCCAACTCAAATTTGTCCCTTTAAGTACTCATTAATTCTAACATAAAGCCAATTTAATTGTTAATTCTTATCCTCCCAAGCCGACACCATACATAACCCCTTTCACAATCATGCAATGTACATGATTCATTATTTTCAATTCTCTCATTGTCATTCACGTAAACACAAACATACAATTAATATACTAAGAAAATTTTAAGTAAAAGAGTCACCTGAAGCACTCGTGATTTTTCTTCGTTTAAAGGCCTCTTTCTGCTATTACGCTCTTCTCCTCTTTTATTTTAGATTATTTATTACCCTAATTATAAAAGAAAAAACTATCTATATACACACCTTTAGTTTTCATAATTTTGATTAATCCCTATTATTTAAAATACTTCTAAAATTCCTTATTTTCCCCCTAATTCTTAAGTCAACAGATACATTACTCCTAACACAACAACCCACGTTCCCTTTCTATTTTTGTTCCTTAAATCTCTCCCTTATTTCACTCCCATAATCTGATTAGTTACATCCTTGATCCCAATTTGAATTTAAAAGGTTTCTCTCTCTAGTTGCAATTGATTTCAAATCAACTTTTCATCTTTTCCATTCTACTGTTCTTCATTTTTGTAAGCTTCATCTTCTTCATCTTACATTGGTCGAATTAAATTCATATGATGTCAAGAATTCTAGTACTTATGAGAACGGCGTCGTTTCTAATTAATTTCTCTGCCACTTATAACTACAATTTCTATGTTACAGGAGTGACAGGAAAGACTGATGGTCAACCCCAAATCGACAATATAAGTTCATCAAGTTGTAATGATTATTAGATATAAATTTTTGATATATGTTTGATATTTTCTTTGTTAGTTATTTCAAAAATCTGATATAATAATGACAAGGTATTGTTCTCATAAGGTCATGTATCATATGTTTAAGTATTATCTAGATACATTAAATTCTAATTTTATTCTCGTTTCGAACAGTTGTTATGAATTTATGAAGTTATAAAGTTTTAATTGTAGAATAGGTTATAATTTGTAGAATCTTATATTATATATTATAATTAAACCTGATACATAATAATGAGTATGTGAAGTTTAATTAGTGTTATATATAAGTTTGTGATACATTTACACTTTATCAAGTTAAAGTTAATATCTACATTTGATACACAATTAAAATACTTCATACTTGCTATATGTATCATTTTGTATCAGATTCAAATAAATAATGTCAGTTTGTTATAAATAAAACCTGAATTTAGTACATTAATTTATATTTATGCTCAATGTATAAAAGACTAAAGTTCAAATTATATTATGGGTATAAACTGCAGAATAATGTATAATAGTCTAAATAGTTGAACTGATGATACGTAAATGTCATGTTATGAATATATGATGTTACATTTTGTAGCAGATGCAAATATCTGTCAGATTGTATACAAAGTCATTTGATATTAAGTATCAATTACTATTTATTATTATTAAGTATCAACTAAGACCTAAGAGTCAATGCATAGCACTATCTCAAGACGATATGGTTAATGTTGAATAGAGATTATTTATCAGTTTTTTGACACTTTTTTTAAAAAAATGTTGTTTTTGAAATACACTAGCTCTGGTTTTAGAATTTTTTGTTTTTATTGTTTTATGATATTTGTACTCATGTTTTAGAATGTTACTATAAAAATCATTTATTTTAACTTTAACTTTCATTATTGTTAGATGTTATTTACAGTATGCATATTCGAATAAAATTAAGTATTAGGTTGATAAATGCATATATATACACTATATTATTTTTTCTAATTAGTTTTAGTCAATTGTTAATACATTTTAACACCTAACTAATGCAATGTAATTTATAACTTGACTGTTGATTCAATTATGTAACTTGATAACTTAGTTCTAGTTAGTTGTGTATTGATTTATGCTGATACATTGAATAATTAATTGTAGTTACTTGCTAATTCATTCATGTATCTATTGATAAATTAATTCTTAATCATTGTGATTCATTTAAATATACATTTATTAATTTTATATACTACTTTTTTCACAATCCAATTGTATAAGATACACCATTTCATTAAGAACATGATACATTATATAAAAAATATATTTAATTCATATTAAGTGGTACCATCTCCACAAACACAATCTCTCGTACATTATTATTAAATACTTAATAATACATTATTTTAAACAGAAGTATATATGAAACACAATTTGTTACAAAAATAAACACAAATTTCAAAATATTAACATTTTAATTTATTGTATAAGAATTTCACCTGACAATAAATTGTAATGTTCTATCAAGGTAAAAATGAAAAAAAAATAAAAAAATTGAAAATCTATAATTTCAAAATAATGTATCGAAAACACAATAGTATTCTAAAAAAAATTGTCAATCTTCTTTCAAAAAAAGTACAAGTTCTTCAACTGTGATCTTCTTTTCCACTACTTCCGCGATTTGTGCACACTTGAAAATTAGAGAGATATCACATATCAATCAACTCATTTTAAAGTGCACGATAGCCTAATGAAAACTAACTCCAGATACATGATAATTTATATATTGATGCTTACCTTCATATATTGATAAATAAGAACCTGTTTGGCGCAGCTTAAAAGCTGGTAAAACTGACTTAAAAGCTGTTTTTTGACTTATTAAGCTGTTTGGCAATATTCAAAATAAGTTATTTTAAGTTTTAAAAAAAAACTTATTTTAAGCCAAAAGTTAAAAGCTATGGTAGAGGAGATTTTTTTTTAGCTTATAAGTTGTTTTAAGTTGACCACATTTTTATCTTTTTGCCCTTGATATTTTTATACAATCTCCAAATTACCCATATAACCCTAACATCTTTTTCTTCCATTTTTACCTTTTCACGTTTGACATAGCAATTTCAACACTTTTATCCAAACGCATAATTGCTTATTTTAAAAATAAGTTTCAGCACTTTCAAAAGTACTTTTTAAAGCTGCTTTTATTAAGCCCATCCAAACGGACCCTAAATCTATATATTGATACATAAAAAATAAATTTTATATGTATCTAATACGTTATAGTAACAACACACTGATTCACATGTAGAAAATGTATTACATGCACATCAAAGTAGAACTGAATCAAGTTGAAATCATTAGTGTATCACGATTTATATATGCTTATACAAATTCCAAAAAATCAAAAAAGAAATGCACATACGTGATACTTTTTATTAACAACACACATCAACTCACAGATCTTCAAACCCACATGTACGTCAAAACTTTAATGTATCATGTTCTAGCCAATAACGTATCATGACTTATTGATCAATATATAAATTAATGAATGAAAAAACAATGATTAAAGCATACAAATATGTATTGGATACTTTTTTATATCAATCTTTTAACTCGAAACTCGAAGTTATGGCAAAGAAGCATAACTAATTTTGCCCAAGATAATTATAAAATAACAACTTTCAAATACCTTCATATTTGAGATCTGTCATCACACTGGCAAGCAACCACCAACACAAAAATAAAGATACTAAGAAAGTTGTCAAAGAAATTCAGACATGATCGTCAATAATAGTGAGATTTATGTAGAATTCGAAGAACTCAAAAGCTACGATTTTTTATTTTTCTCCCTTCGAGTGTGTCAGTCAAAATCAAAATATTCATCGTGTATCTTGTCAAATTTTCAACAAAAATTTTGAATCATACTTGAAAATTTCTTTGTTGAAATAGGGGCAAAGATGAAAAGGAATTTTGAATTTTGAATAGATTTATTATATTAGGATTTAGTTTCTGTTAATGATATAAAAGAGGAACTGAATACAATACATTATGGAATTTTAATATGATTTTCTGATTTTGTTTTCCTTTTTAAGCGCAACAACCATATTTATAATGTATCACAATTAATGTATCCGGACAACCAATTATGTATCCGGATGATATATAATTCAAGGGATTTTTGTAAAATAGAAATAAGTAGGGATAGGAAGTAATTTAGATTTTACACTATGGAATTTATGTAAATTATACATTATAATATGATTAATTATAAGAAATTATAAAAGTGACCCACTATAAATTTTAATGTTATTTTATTTAACCATCAACTAATAAAATATTAAAACTATCCCATAATTTCATAATTATAATTAAGAGTAGTCCAAACACCCATTTAGAATCTATTGGAAAGTATTTTATCACAGAAAAAGTTCTAGTGCTCAAAATGGCTTAACGGTCATTACAAAAGATAGTTTACATATTGTCACGTCCCGATAGCATACCCTAGAATATATGGTATTTTCAAATCATTGCACGGCTTACTTGACCTCTCTCAGGTCTTGTATAATCCCTTTGACATCATTCATCACATACATGTATGTAAATAGTGCGGAATTAAAACTTTTCACACGAAATATCAATACTTCAAAATATCTCTTTATAGAAAATCACAAGGAAAGGCTAAGTCTCAAAGTCGCTATATTAGACACACGAATATCTTCGGACGCAGCCCATACATCGACATATAGAAATTTCTAAGTCTATTACAATACACAAGAAACTAAACATAATGATGTCTTTAGATCTATTGATGACATACTCCAACTTTACTTGAATGAATACTAATCCAAGCTTCCACTTCAAAGGACTCCACTCAAATGCCACCTATACCTTTAGAGATAGACAAAATATATGGAATTAGTACATTAGAATGCACTAAGTATGGTGTAATGCAATAAAATCATGCTAAAATTACATTTGTATAAAACATGTTCTTTTAGAGTAAAACTTCATAAGATAAGTATAAGAGTCACTTACAAGTCAACATAAACACATATAGTCATATTCCACAATATAGCATCAAGATCACTTCAAATCACATAACATGAGACCCTTTTATCAAAGGTGATTCTAAGGCTTACTTGAGTGAGTTATGAAGAGACCACTCATACAATCTCTTTACACACACCAAAGTGATCCTTTAGACTACCGAAGATAATATTATTCTCATTCCATCAATTTAACTCCCTACCTAGAATTACTCCAACACTCACCTAAGTAAGACATGAAAAGACCGCCCATACACCCTCTCCAAGCCTACTTAAGCAATTCTTAAAGCTACTCGATATAAGTACCTTTTCATTAAATTGCATTTAACTTAAGTCACTATACTTATTAAGTCATTTAAGAGACATTCAACAATTAAGAACTTTCATATAATGGTCTTGGAGAAGTCCAAGAGAACCTACATACTAACATTTTAAAAGCCTACTCGTGCAATGTCTAGATAGAGTCTCATTCCACTATCTAAACTTTATATTACTCATTCAACACTAGCATGTATCCCATATGATGAGAATACGCAATAACCGACATAACCATACTAGATAGGCATGGAATCCGGAGTCTTCCCTACCCAGATGGAGGGTGTTCTACTTGTCAACGGTAGAACTAGAACACATATCATGTAGGCACTTGGTTAAGGAATATCAAGGGTTTCTTTGTAGTCTAGTCTCATCTAAAGAAGAGTCACTCCCCAAGCATATTCTCTCGATGCTAGTCTTTGTTCTCGTAGAGTACTTCAATAAAGGATCATATGGATAGGTACACCATATAGAAGTCACAACCACATCATAATACACCTCATCAGAGGAGGTCCACTAGGGCTGCCACACAATGGTCAAATAGGATAGGTCAACGACTTTTTGAAGGATAATTTTTTGTCATTCCAGCCAATCAACTCCTAATTTCATCATTCACACAAGAAGGATACCAATACGCTTTCAACTTCAAGGATATCATAACCTCCTTTCTAGAAGGTTCCACATAAATAACCTTCTTAACTATCTTCAAGGTCACATTTGAGTCATACATACACATTATGACAAAGGTGATTTAGCCTACTAAGACAACGAATCATATTCACATTCTTCATATATCAAGTAAGGGACATAGGTCTACCAAAACAAGACACACTTCATTATAATCTTATCACATGTATAGTTTCATTTAAGTTACATATAGGGTCAACTAAGCATACTACAAGTCGCCCTACACACTCCTATAGAATCA